AATACATATGATGCACGATCCTCGTAGTAGATAGCGCTATTTAAGCAATAGCGAAAATCAGACCTGAAAAAAATCAGGCCTGTACGGGATTCGAACCACTGACCTCTGCGATACTAGTGCAGCGCTCTACCAATTGAGCTAACAAGCCAACTGGGAGCAGGCCGTTAAGTTGATTCGTAATAAACCCGTGAAAGTGATAAATCAGATACAATGAAATATATGAAGTTCATATATTTTGAACTGCGGTATTAGATACGTATGATGCACGATCCTCGCAGTAGATAGCGCTATTTAAGCAATAGCGAAAATCAGACCTGAAAAAAATCAGGCCTGTACGGGATTCGAACCACTGACCTCTGCGATACTAGTGCAGCGCTCTACCAATTGAGCTAACAAGCCAACTGGGAGCAGGCCGTTAAGTTGATTCGTAATAAACCCGTGAAAGTGATAAATCAGATACAATGAAATATATGAAGTTCATATATTTTGAACTGCGGTATTAGATACGTATGATGCACGATCCTCGCAGTAGATAGCGCTATTTAAGCAATAGCGAAAATCAGACCTGAAAAAAAATCAGACCTGTACGGGATTCGAACCACTGACCTCTGCGATACTAGTGCAGCGCTCTACCAATTGAGCTAACAAGCCAACTGGGAGCAGGCCGTTAAGTTGATTCGTAATAAACCCGTGAAAGTGATAAATCAGATACAATGAAATATATGAAGTTCATATATTTTGAACTATTGCTATTCATTTATTTTGAACTTCATATATTTCAGATAGCGATAGGTTTTTCTGTTCACAATGCCTTATTTCGTGCGAAGATAGTTCGTATTCAAAACATCATTTCCGGTGTTTTAACATCCTCCTTTTGACAGATTTCGTGGAGGTGTCACTATGTTGTAGTTGTGATCGGCCATCCGTCAAAAGGAGGCATCTGTAATATAGGTTAGCAACGAAAAAAAGTGCAAATATCTTAACGCAAATACGAAGTCAGAACCAAAAACGAAGTACGTGTTCCTTTCTACTGTCTATTGCGGGTCTAAAATGCTAAATAGGACCTTCATCACGAAGACAACGTTGGGGGAGCTCGGATTTCGTAATCGAAGATCTTCCCGAGATGACCTCCCTCTGACGGATTTCGAAGTGCGCTTCCCCTGTTATAGTTGTAATCGGACATCCGTGAAAAGGAGTCATCGCAAAAATATTGTGGAGTTTGTAAAATAGGTAAGCAATGAAAAAAAGGCAAATATCTTAGGGCTAATTCGAATTCATGAGCGAACATGAAGTATGTGTTCGTTTCTACTCTGTTTTGCGGGTCTAAAATGCTAAATAGGGCCTTCATAACGAAGACAACATCGGGGGAGCTCGGATTTCATAATCGGAAATCTGCCCGAGATGACCTCCCTCTGACGGATTTCGGAGTGCCCTTTCCATTTGTCGGATGTAAGATTTGCCCATGCGTAGTCGATTGCGTTTTTTATATCCGGGGTACTTGTGATGACATCACGTAATATGCACGCGGAAATATCGAACGATTACAAGCGATAAAACTGTGTACAGATGTCCCGCTCTGCAAGAAATCAAGGACACGCTAAACGAGGTGAGTTTTTAATATAGATCTCTTTAATTGCTTGTGGAAGTATTCATCAAGGTCATAAACGGTTTAGCGATGACTCTCGAGGAAGACTAGACATTTATGTGTTTGGCTGCTCTGCTATGGGAGCATATTTTTGGCGATTCGCGAATGGAGGTGCCAAGATATCGATCAAGTCCTACTTTATGGAGATCATCAGTTTTCCTGGGTCTCTTAACCCGACTTCTGGCATTTGTTACGTTCTTTTGTTGACTTGATCTTCTTTTACAAATGTTTAAAGGGACTCTTAATTATTAACTTATCTAGTTTTATTATTTCCAGAAAGAATGCAGCATATGAACTAAGAAACGCTGATTTGTCACTTAAAACTCAATATGCGAGAACAAACATGCTAAAATATTCCTATTTCCATAGAACAGTTAAAGCCTGGAATTGTTTACCTATGCATGTCAGAAATTCTGAGTCTCTTTCTGATTTTAAAAGTCTTTGTAAGGCTTATTTATACCAGTTAGACACTGAATTAACCTAATTTATTATTATTATTATTATCATTATTATAACTATATCATTATAAATATATATAGGTATGTGTAGTGTTTTTCTTTTTTGGTGGCCTTTTGCAAAGGGGAACCTGTTCCTGTTTCTTTGCCTTCCCCTAACTTTGTACACGTGTTAAGTTTTTTGAGAAAATGATTAAAGTAAAGTAAAGTAACTCAGGCTCTGTTGTTGTTTCACAAAAGCCCTTTAAAACTGAATTGGTGGGAAAAGTTGGAATTCTCTGTTAATAAGCGACACCAACTCCTATTATATCGTTTATTTCAAATGGTATTATAAGTATTCCCTTCAAGCTCTGATAGAAGTAGATTCATTAAGTTGAGTATAATCACTACAGCAAATAACTGTCACAAAAGAAAACTGATGGTTCCAATACTAATTTTAAGAGTTTGATAATAATTATGTGGAAATTTATAATATTAATTACTGCTTGTGAATAATGTCAATGCCAGCAGTTTGGTGCCAGGAAAGCTCTTGTTAATGGAATCATCCGCCACGGCTTGGCTTGAAGGTTATCTCCCAGTTAAATTTTTTTATAGGCTTTTTTTGCACTTTTTCGCTTAGTCTTGGTGAATTACGCGGCAACTGCAAATGTACTAGCCTGGTAGTGTAAGGCAACATGTTGAATTCTCCTTTGACCTCTTGTGTATCTAATAGTTTCTTTATGCTGCAATCTTAGAGAATGTTTTATCTAATAGTTTTCTTTATGCTGCAATCCTAGAGAATGAAGGGAAATTATCCCAAAGTACATGTAGAAGTGGAGTCCAATCAATTAAGAAAAATTAAGCTTGAACCTAACTACATGCAGGGTTTCACTTGTTGTTCATTGAGTGTATTTGGTCAGGTCAAGTTTCAAGTTACCAAAATGAACCTAATACTAAATTCCTGCCCTCCCAAAAATGATTGAGTTCTCACAAGGGAATCATCAAGTCTTTAAATTTTGATCATTGTTAATGGCTTATTTTACAATACATGTTCAGCCAATTAATCAAAGAAAAAATTCTGAGTGCCAATGAGGGATCAAACCCCAGACTTTCCGATCCATGCTCTGATGCTGTACCTACAGAGACTCTATGGTGAGCAAGGCCCATTACAAAGTTCATATATGACACACTTGGATAGCATCATGTTTTGTAACAAAAGACAGATAAATATATTACCATTATCAGTTTGCATTGCTTTCTTGGAAGATTCAGACACTGATTTATTCCATACTAACAATGCACATAGATATTTTGTAGTCTTAAATGTACTTGAGATATGGGAATTTGTATTGGTTTTGAATCATTTATATGTTCATTTGTGATGATGTACATCAATGTTAGCAGGCATGGTAAACAAAAAGGGGAAAATGTTACAATTATGTCAATATTACATTCTCTTAACAAAAGATAAGAACAAAGTGGTTTAAGGCCCAGTTCAGATGCCTTACTTCAGCCAAGCCGAATCGAATTCAACTTAAGGCCGACCCAAATCATTTAATCTGGCTGAATTGACTCAGACGCCAAACTTATTTCAGCCGAAATTAATGAACCGCAGAAAATTTGTGGCCAGGGCCAGTGCAGTTCAGAGTAACAAATTTGATAAGTGTTATATAAAGAACAAAAGTTATTTGTATGGCATGGTTGTTGTAAACAAGTTTTAAGTATTTTTTTTGGTTGCCTCTATGAAGAAGTACCTGAATAAAGTATGGCAGTTGATCAGTAAATATTTTGGCCAATTATACTTGCTTGAAATGTGAAATTCCAATGTGCAATAAATGTTCAATTTTTGAAAAAAAAAAGATTAATATGTTAATTAAAGCATTGCTTGTTGCAAGGGATACACAAAAGAGGTGGAAGAGGATGTTGCTGATGCAGAGGACAACTACATAATGCCCTAAGAACCGACAGAGCAACGAATCAGTGTTAGTTTGAAAGGTGTAGAATAGCGTGCTCATTCAATATCTGTCAATATCGTTTACTTTAGCTCTTCAAGGTGCCATTTTTCTTCTTCATCACTCCATTGCACATGCTCACATGTAAAAATGGCAGGAAAAATACATTTAAATAATTTATGCATTTGTTTCGGCTCATTTGAAGTATGGTGTCTGAAGCAAAGTCAGTCTACAGCCATTCTTTGCGGCTGAGTCAAGCAGGATTAATTGACCGAGCTGATGTAAATTAAATCAGCCTTTCTGAATTGAATCAGATGCCATACTTCACATGAACTTAATTCGTTTAATTCAATTCAGCTTGGCTGAAGTGCAGCGTCTGAACTGGGCCTAAGAGAGGACATAGGTTTTGTTGTCCCAAATTAACAGTACTGTACATAACATCTTGTATGAAATACAAGATAAGTGTTTAAACTAACAGCATGACAAGCTTTTTGAATTCTAATTAGATACATAAATATAGCATGTGTCAAGAGTTTCTATGTGGCACCCACCCTTGTCCTTATAATCCAAACCATGGAACTCTGTGATTGGGCTTAACCTTCCCCTTAATATTTCAGGAATGGTTTGTCCTGAGCTTCATATGGATTGTACTAATTGATAAGGTGAAGGGACAAAGTGAATTGCCAGAAAATAGGAATGAGTGGAATTTTGCACTGAACAAGTGAAGACTAATTACTGCCTCCTTGCAAAGATGATAAAGCCACACAAAACTCATAGACAGCAGAAACAGGAGCAAATCAAGGAGAGATTAGGTGAAGTTGGAGTGTGTCGGATCAGAAGAACTGAAGAGAATGATGGAATATCCGAAACTCTTGGCTGTGGATTTTTGGTTAGGAATTTTGCTATTGTTCCTGGTTTCCCTTACCCTCGGTGTCTCATATCAAGTGATAAAATCTTTCCTGTTGAGTGTAACATTGATAAGTACTACTTAGACTTTAAAAAGGTGGATCCAAATGCCTTGAAGACAATTAAATTGAAAGACATTACTAAAGCAGACAAAGTCAGTCGAAATTATGGTTTGGTTGTAATTCAAATTGATCCTTCTGAGAAATGCAAGAAGGGTGATAGTTTATTTGATAGACTGTTTGATGTCACCAATGAAGAACTGACACCCAAAGAGAATGACTTGCGCTGCCTTTATGTAGATGATGCAGGTGACTCACAATTTTCAGTGAAATCGCTCAAGCTTGGAGAACCATTACAAAGCCAGTATGTACTCGCTGAAGAAAATGAAAGCCCTTACAAAAGTTTCACTGAGGTAACTCGCAGAGGAGATCGTAAGCCCTATGGTGCTGCCATCGTTAAGAATGATGGCGGGGGATTAATAATTGCTGGAGCCCTGACCTTCTCTGATGATGACACGAAAACTGTCCAGCCAGTTTTCTTTCCACTACCTGCTCAAGGTAATTGTTTTTTATTGTTAAAGGGGTAAGTTTCTAAAGAAACCATGGTGCTGCATTGGTGGGGGTAACAAGGTAATTTGGTTATATCAACTAAGTTGAAATTGTAACCAAACTACCTTGTTTTTTATTGTTGTCTTTCAATATTAATAATGACACTTTCTACTTATATTATTACTTTTTTAAGATTGAGAAATCAGGTGTGGAAAGGGATTACTTGCAGTCCATTTAATAACCTTCAAATGATTAAAAAAAGATCAACCATTTACAAGCTCCTCATCTTTTACCAGGGTTTTCATTTGGGTAGAGTCTTGTTTGACTGAGGACATGCAGATTTCAGATGCTAGTCCATATCTCAAGTCTTACCAAGTTGTTGAAGAGGCCCCAAAGATTAATTTCCATTTCTTTCACCTTTAATTAAGGAAGTGTTTCTCAATGGAACAATCCATCCGAGGAAGGACAGCCACTTCGACACACACCACTTGTTGCTGTTGCAACTCTTGAACAAGAAGCAGTTGATGGTCTAGGTAATAATTATATGTACATGTAATCATGGATAAATAAAGTTAAACTTTTCAAACTTAATATTGGTATTCTGCTTGGTTCACAATCAGGGCTACATACACAATGAGGTTTGCATTTATGCTTCTCTGAATTAAAATTATTTTGATTGTTCAGTTGATATAGCATGTTTCTCAATAAAAGGGTCACTCATAAATGTTCACTCGTAAAGAGGTCTCTCATAAAGTTCACAGACCAACCCATTCCAAAAACGCTCGTAATCTTTTAGTGTGGGTCTACCACAACTGCCATGTGCATATTTTGTATGCAGTTTAAGTGTATTATACACAGTATCTGTGCTGATTTTGCACTACAAAAAATGATCTCCTCCTATCATTAGTCAGAATGTCGCACATGCATCAGAGTCAAAGTGTTGTGCAAGTGTGTTATGGACTTAACTGCATGATTCAGAATTTTCAATTTGGGCTTTTCCTTTGGAAAACCAGAGTAATCAGTGACTTCTGCGGAAAAAAAAACAACTAAATTTGGGATGCGAGCAAGCTGCAAAATACGATACTTAGAGTTATTGAACAGAATGATGGAACAGAGGAAAGGTGGACTGGCAGAATGGCAGAATATCTTAAGACACAAGAAGAATATCCTAAAAGGGAAGTCTCCAAAATGGAATTGCAATAAAATAAAAAAAAATCTTCCAGTTAACAATTGAAATTAAAAGAGGCATTAGGTAATCATTGTTGGAGCCCAGGGTAATCGGGGAACGGAACCATGAGGCTTTTGAGCTAGTCCCTTAAAATTATTGTTATAGTACTATTGTAATCATTGATGTCTTTGTAATTATTATTATTATTTGCTACCATACCATTATTGGTTGAATGTCAAGCAGACAATATATTCTTGAATCATCTTTCTCCTGTGAGACAGGGTACCCATAAATATGTGGGATGCGGCAGGTTTTCTGTTTTGCTTGTGAGACAAATATTTTGCAACACTACCTTCTAGTGTCATTATACCACCTCCAACTCTTTTCATTGCTATAAAAATCAGTAGCCACACACAGTCTTAGACTGCCTAATTTCGACAAAGCTTGTGCGACAGTTAGCTGTATATTTGCCTCTACTTCAAACTCTGTCTTAAAGATAAGGAAATTGTACTGCTAAGGACACGGAGCGAAATCAGCTGGCCTGGCAAACGTTCTCACATGGCACTAAACCAAGAGGAAGACGAAGACCCTTAGCTACTTCGTCACGTTATGACTAGTTTATATTAGAGAGAAGGGACTTGGCAAGTCCACAGACATCCCAGCCTTACGCTTGAGAAATAAGGCAAATGTANNNTAGAAGAACTCATAACTTCGCCCAACGTTTCACAAACGAACAATTTGTGTTGAAGAATTCAGATATTAATAAGTGAGACTCACATTGATTAACGTAATTGTTACCTGCCACCACCTCTCGTTGTAACTTTGAGTTACTTTTTGTGAAGGATTATCAAATAAAAAATTAAGCCGCGTTTCAATCGTTTTAAAAACAAATTTAGTACCACCAAATTTATTTCGAAATCAATTTTTGCAGAAAAACCATAGTGATTTCAGAGCGAGAGAGAAGAAAGAATGAATATTATTTATCGCCAAAAGGTCATGACCGAAGTCTTTGCTCAAAAATTCTGTCCGGCCGGAAAAATGAGAAATATTTGTGAAAAACTGCAACGAAGCTTGACTCGAGCGAAACGGATACCGCCCGCTGTGAGCGGGCCGGATGGGGAGAATACTGCCCGCTCTCGGAGCCAATCAGACTGCAGGATTTGTAGAATACCGCCCGCTCACGAACTGAGAAAAAATTAAAAAACTTATATTATCAAAGATGTTTTTTAAGTCAAGGCAAAGCTCATGATAACTCGTATATAGTTTGTGGACTTTACATTTACAGTCAAACTAAGTGAAGCGTACCCCTCAAGATTATATTAATGAATTGATCAATTGGATATTGAACCCGCCAGTCGTTTCAAGAATGCAATAATGAATTGAAAATTTGATTATTGAACCCGCTAGCCGTTTCACGAATGCAGTAATGGATTGATTATATGAATAATGGACCCGATAGCCGTATCCGTTTTGAAAAGGCGCGGATCATTGTTCAAATTAGAAGTCCATTTCTCAAGTCCAATAAGATTGTTCAATTTGACGAAGAATCCTGAAAATGAACAAACTGCACTGTAAAAACACTGCGAAAACAGTCGATCGCAAATATTAACGAAATAAAAAAAAGTCTTGCGATGGCTTCGCCCGTAAACTATTTTTTTCCACCCTGAATACTCACAAGAATTTCTACAAGTTCGGAAAGATGTAAATAGGCGAAAAAAGCTCTCGATAACATTCCATTTACAACATTTACAAGAAGTTCTAGACAACACTCGCACTCACCTTTCCCCCCATATCTGACGCCATGTTGAAATAGTTCCGATCCATCATCACATGTTCGCATAATCCAATCCGAAATGGACTTCAATGATCCGCGCCTTTTCAAAACGACTACGGCTATCGGGTTCAATATTCAAATAATCAATCCATTATTGCATTCTTGAAACGGTTAGCGGGTTCCATGTTCAAATATTCAATTCGTTATTGCGCTTCTGAAACGATTAGCGTTTTCAATATTCAAATAATCAAATCATTAATGTAATCCTGTGGGGTACGCTTCACTTAGTTTGACTGCAAAAATGATAAACAGCTTTCCGGTACTATGTGTAAAAAGAGATGGAATTTGGAATGGATAAATGGACCTGTTGAAATGAAAAATGTAAGTCACCGTGCTCGTTCAAGTGCTAAAGACCATCGCAACTCTTTTTCTGGCTCGTTGATTGAAAAACAACACCGTGTTCTTGGAATGCGCGCGCGCCTATTCGCCTGCTTACGTGATTTTTATACGCTGTACAGGATGCGCAGTGCAATACTGAGGAATCACCTTAGGCCAGAGTTACAGAAGCTCAAGGCCTCAATCAAATGGTCCATTTAATCAACACGATACTGAGGGACAACTTCAATGTTTAACGAAAGTACTACTGGGTATAACTTAAAACGCAAGAGAGTCATGAAAGGAATCAGAATAAGAATTTATGAGGGGATTAAAGAAGATGTGCTTGTCAATATCTCCATTTAAATTCATTTTGATTTTTTCTCTCATTTTTTTAAAGTTAAAAGTGGCAAAATTCCAAAAGATAATCTACCCTACCTGGCATGGGATATTGGAAACGAAGGTAGCTGGAAAAACTTTGGGAGATGTTTAAACCTTAGTGAAGGAGAATTAAAGTGTTTTGGAAGTGACCATGGTGGGGAATACGAAAGGTGGTATTGTATGCTTAAAGCCTGGAGAGAACGTGATGGTGCTTATGTCACTCTTGCCAATACCTTAAAAAAGCATAATCGGACAGACCTTTTTGAACAGTACTGTCTCGAGGGAAGTGATCCGCCCACAAAAGGACCAAGGCAACCGCGTAAGTTTCTAGATAATTCTTGAGTCATTCAGGCAATAACTACAAAACTCTGCTTTTTTGTCTTACTGTTAAGCCATCGGACAACTGAGGGTTAACATTTCTTGCTGTAGGTTCCAAACCTTGACCCCAATCAGGAAAAGATATCCCTTTCATAGTTGCCTTGCCAGAGAAAACGCCCTTTATTTTAGAATTAAGATAGCTGATATAGGGACTTTTTCCACCAATGGGTGAGAACCAATCGCCATGCGAGAGACGATTTTAAGTACTATGGGAAAGACTTCTTTCTTCTGTCACCGAAGTCCCATATTATCCTTAAAGCCCCCATTAAAGTTTGTTTCCATGATACCATGCACAGTTTATGTTTACTTGTACTTACTTCCTTGTTTGTTTCTGTCTATTTATTTGAAGCCACAGATTTAAACCTGAAGAAGCTACGTATTAGCGAAGAAGACCATCGGGATATTTCCCGTAGAGTTGCGAGTAAACGTAGAAGATTAGGGAGAGCCCTTGGGTTAGGAGATGAGAATTTAGAGGCAATAATGGAAGATAATGCGAATGACACCAATGAGCAGTCCTTTAAGATACTACAGAAATGGATGCAGTCAAATGGGGCTAAAGCCACTTACGATGTCCTCGCACAAGCTTTGTATGATCGCACTGTCATGCTGGATGATGTTGTGGAAGACTATTGCGTCATTTGAGTGACAAAATGTCTTTGGGCACCGAGCTTTTAAGCCCACATGGGAAATTAGAAGAGGAATTCATACTAGTAACAATCAGTCAACCTTGTTACGGTTATTATTTAGTTTCCTTCAATACGTCATAATTAGCTGATGTTAGGAACATTCTCGATATAATTCATTTTTCCGAGGGAAAACACACGTAGTGACACGCTTATCCAAGTAATCCTGACAAAGAGGCCGAACTATGTGGGTCAGATCTGTAAGTTGTCTCCTATTTGGCCCTACTGTAATTTGAGAGAAAAAACGATACGAAATGAAAATCTGTAATTTGCGAAGTGAACTGTCCATTACGGTCGTGAAGAAATCAATGGGTCACCTGTATGAAAAAAGAGTTGCGCCTTTTAGCCATAAAATGCAAACCTGTAACTGCGACATTACTTGGTGCTGTTTAAAAGGTGACATCAATGTATATAGATGATAGTATTTATTATTCGAATGCGTGACAGGACACTTTGCTTGACCGGACGAGACTTCAGTTCGCGTAAGAAATTGTTACCGCACTATTTGAGACGCAACCAACATTAATTGTTTATCAGTGGAGAGGCTACGAAATGTGCTTTTTGGCGAAAATGTTTTCGTATTAGCTTGACCAAATCGTAACCAACTGAGACGCAACAGTTCGAACGGACATGTTCCTTTGAGAGAATTAATCGGGTGTCAAATCCTACCGTACTAATACAACTTCTCAACAATTCAATCCAATTTTTTGGTATTCCTATTGGTGCACTTGCAATCTTTCTTTTAAGTTTACCATCGAAATTTAACCGATACGCGTTTTGTCGGAGTTCATAGCGGGAGATTGATTTACCCCGCACAATGTTTTTTAGGTTGGTATCTTAGAAGGCTTCGTACCACCCTTAAAAGCAATCCGTCTTTTTTGCGTCAAAAGTTTTGTCAGCAATTCTCGGCTTTGGGTTACCACATATCAAGTTATGTCAACGCTCTGAAAACAGTGGACATGCCAACCGCCAATAGAAACAAAGAGCGCCTCTTTCTTGTTGATGCTATATCGCTGTCGTCTGTCGAAAATATTAGGGAATGTGTCCCAGATCTCCTCCATCAGGGGAGCTAGAGCCGGAGCACTCTTCAAGTGAGGAGAGACAGGAAAGTGAAGTAAACTGTGAAGAATAGGGAGAAGCGTGAGGTTTTAATTCTGAAAATGTCGACCGCCGATCGAACACTTCATGGTGCTTATGGCTTCAACTGATGGAGATCTGTGACATATTCACCATAGTTTTCTTTTTTCAGACGAAAGCAATATAGCATCAACAAGAGTAAAACACAACGCTAGCGCACCGAGCAACCGTTGCACGTCATCAGCCTAGAGTGCGTTGCGCACCATTCAAGATGGCGGCCGCGGGAAATTCGAAGTTCATGTTAGGCCCTTTGGAAAACGATAAAAAATCGGATCGCTTGGCAAGACAAATGCTTATGCCATATCTATTAAGATGTACATCTAGAACATTTTAAGCGTTATTTGTAAAAAGAGTGGAAATTCCCTTTAAGGATTCGGTAGACCTTCGCGGGTGTTCTTCTCAAAAACATTTTTCGACGCGCTAAACTATATATCCTTGGGAATGTTTTGAAATGCACGCTTCGTTATTTTGAGGCTCAGCTGTTTCGCTAGGTGATATCAACTGAGCTGTAGGTTTCTCAATAATCTTAGGTTAGAGAGTTTGTAGCATGGATTTTAGTTTTTTTATTATACATATATTTTTGTCATTTTTTAATTATGTAATATATTTACATGTTATTTTAAAATACTTTTGTGGCTAAAGATAGGGAGAGTTTGAAGACGTGAACAATATTCTAACCTGTCTACCTTTGAAGCTAATATGTTCAAAATAAACGTGTGATAATTTTCCAAAGTGGAAAGATGCTGTCGTAGCAGTCTTGTAGATAGTATGCCACTGTAAACGCAATAAAACTGCATAGTCCTTAATGTTTACTTAGTGCCTGGTTTTTACTTTTTGAGGAAAAAGTAAGAGTACATTAAGGTCAGTAACGAAATAGACTGCACTTTTAATCTGTCAGTGGCAAAATGACCCAAGTGTGAGACCCAGTGGGTGACTGCCTAATACAGGTCCGACTGTATTTAGTTTCTCAGTACTTTTATAATGAATAATAAAACAAAAAAGAAACTTTCAGCTTTTATATATTTAAAAAAGGGTCCTTTAAGAGAAATTATGTAAATTTCGAAGATTTGTAACTGTCGGCGGATTCTCGATATTCATGGTCTGTGGCTCTTAAGTAGAACACTCTAGACTGCGTTCGGTTGGTTTTGCAAGATTGGTATATAAAGTTCTATAGTTCTCAGTTTTACTCCCAGTTATCACCCCCATTGTTAACGTCAACAATACCGCACGAAATGAAGCTTGCCGTGTTTAAACCCTCACTGAAAAAGTTCTCTTTAGATTTTGAAGTTTATGCCTAGCCTGTGTCAAACCTTACGTTTATCTCCAAGTCTATTGGGAAAGTAGTTGCGGCTCTCTTAACTATCCGGAAGTAAATATTTGTTTTGGTGAGAATATGCAAATTTGTCACTCCCTCAGATGTAAACAAATCGATATGTCATCGGCAGACCAATTGATATCGAAATTTTTAACCTCAGGTGGGCCTTCATCCAATTCAGTTTTTGTATGCAAGAAACAAATTCATGATCCCTGAGACTTAAACTTAGCACCCCGGACTCCAAATGTTATGAGGAGCATTTGTAGCGATAGCATCCAAAAGTGTCTGAGAATCCTGAGTAATTCGTGTCGGCTGATGTACAGGCTAAGTAAGATTTTCCAACCTCAGCAGTCCCTTAAGCTGTTTACGTTCCACTGATGTTTGGTTTTGCCAACAAATTTCAGTTCAAATCGCCCAAAATAATCACTTTCTTGCCCCTAGCTGCAGCTTGTCTGCAATTTCAAATGAAGACATGAAATCGTTAACAGCGTGATTTGAGGTTGTGGGTGGACTGTAGAACACCCCAACCAAAAACCTATGAGATTTCGGTGAGCACACTTCAATCCAAAGCGACTCGATTGTTGGCGATTTGAGGTCGGGCCAACGCATCACCTTCACATCATTTCTTGTGTAAACCAGGAAACCACCTCCCTTGCTGCCTCTGTCTCGACGAAAGAGTTAATAACCGGATATTTCAAGCTCCGAATCAGGAAACGGTTAAATTCTCGATCTGCATTTTCTGCCTGCAGTCTGCATTTTGTACTGATCGATAGCTAAAATGTGAATTCTGACTATTCACCCAACATCACCCATGCAGTTCAAAGTAACTCCAAGTAGTTTCAACTCTATCCGAGAGTTACTCGTTAGCTGCTTATGTTTACATGCAAAAGTGTATGTTTTCGTAAAAAGGAATTTGATTATCTTAAAAACCCATTCAAACGTAATGTATCCGCGACTTATTCACAGTTCCCTTTGACTTTTATGTTCCTCTGTGTTCCCTTAACATATCTAAATAGATGGCTTGCTTTTTTCACAAAATTGCCACCGGATCCCGGGTTACATATGCTACTGAACCATGTGACATAAACTCTATATCGGATAAGTATGTTCAAGATAGTAGCCTGCCAAGTAAACTATATCATCTTCTGCCAGTTTAAAAAGTAAGAAAGTTTTGGTTTTTAGTGCCACTCCTTTTCATCCCACTCCTAAAATAAAACTTACAGTGAAATTTTTAACCGGCAATCTTTGCCAATTTTTCATCTTATGCGTATGGCGCTATTTATGCAATAGCGAAAATCAGACCTGAAAAAAATCAGGCCTGTACGAGATTCGAACCACTGACCTCTGCGATACTAGTGCAGCGCTCTACCAATCTGATTTTCGCTATTGCATAAATACCGCTATCTACTGAGAGGATCGTGCATCATACGTATCTAATACCGCAGTTCAAAATATATGAACTTCATATATTCATTGTATCTGATACATCATCACGGGTTTATTACAAATCAACTTAACGGCCTGCTCCCAGTTGGCTTGTTGGCTCAACTGGTAGAGCGCTGCACTAGTATCGCAGAAGTCAGTGGTTCGAATCCCGTACAGGCCTGATTTTTTTCAGGTCTGATTTTCGCTATTGCATAAATAGCGCTATCTACTGCGAGGGGTCGTGCATCATACGTATCTAATACCGCAGTTCAAAATATATGAACTTCATATATTCATTGTATCTGATACATCATCACGGGTTTATTACAAATCAACTTAACGGCCTGCTCCCAGTTGGCTTGTTGGCTCAATTGGTAGAGCGCTGCACTAGTATCGCAGAAGTCAGTGGTTCGAATCCCGTACAGGCCTGATTTGTTTCAGGTCTGATTTTCGCTATTGCATAAATAGCGCTATCTACTGCGAGGATCGTGCATCATACGTATCTAATACCGCAGTTCAAAATATATGAACTTCATATATTCATTGTATCTGATTTTCATCTTATGGTAGTTAAACTTTGAAATTAAAATGAGTGGTACCCATAACGCCCTACCTCACTGTAGGAGCTGTGGAACAGTGAATAGCGACGGAATGGAAGAGAGAATCACGGAATTTTTTTCTGTCCCACGCCCCAGACATGATGGGAAAAAAAGTTAGGGTGTGACTCGAGAACTCTGCGGTGATTGATCTACAGGTTTACAATCATGATTTAGTGCTAAAATAAAAGTTCTTCAATATCCCATTTAAAAGTTGGATGGAGTTGAAGGAGGAGGACACGAATAAAGATTTTTTTAAATCAACTATTTTGAATCCTGATTCCTAATGAATGGAGAGTGACAAGGGAGTAACTTAAATCAGCTAACTATCTGTGGTTATCATTGGTTTCTAAAACATCGAGCGACTAAGACAATGATAGGATGATAGTCCATCGTGGGTTATCCTCTCCCTTTATTTTTCCCGGTTTCCCTGCAGTTGACCGGTAATCATTTGGCATTACTACACGGAGGGAGGCACTAAAAGCCGGGGTTCAGGGTACTACTGACTGAGCTACTGGACCTGTACGATCCAAAGTGAACAAGCCCATACCTCCCTCTACTCCACCTCCTGATACTTTCTCGTGAACTCCTCCTTCGACCCCCAGATATCCAAACCATGCAGTCACAACGAACGTCAAAATATTTTGAACCAATGTAGAAATCAAACTCTTGCTTAGAAAAACCTGTGTGACTGCAAACAAAACTAGCAACAACAACACAAATGCAGACAGAACGGCAAGGGTAAGAATTCAAGACATGATAATCACATACATGTTTTGGTCTGCACCAGACTCTTCTGAGGCTTCATACTTAGGTGCGCCGCAACATATAGTTCGGATTTTTTATAATACTGAGGTGGGCGAAAAACATCGTAGAACTCGGAAACTAGGAAAAAAAAATTGCACAAACAGCAATAACAGCCCCTAAAATAATTGTAAAACCCCAAAATGGTTCTGTTATTATACCATGCAAAATCCATAGCAGGTGACGACATGCCATGAATACTGCTGGATAAAGAAAAACACAAGAACATAGGGATTTTGCTAGTCGAGTATCCATGACCATTGGTTAGCCCTGGGTAAGTACTCTTAAGGCATGCATAAATATTCAAATCGTTTTCCTTGTATATGTAGTCACACCATTTTCCTAGTCGGAAAAGATCAATCAATGTACGCCCCAAAAGCACTCCGACATAACAATCTGTAGTTTTTGCAAGTGCCCAAATGTTTACAGTGAGTTCCCCAAAAAGATTTATACAGATGAAATCATTACTGTTGCAGTTTTGTTCCAAATTTTCTCTTTGTTCCATGTTCTCATCTTCTTTATCGCCCATGAAAAAGTACTCATTACAAGGCTTATATAAAGCAAAATCCAACAAGAATAGGGTAACAGTTTCTTCAGCCTAGAAAAAGCCTTCCCATCATCATCATCATCACAGGCATGTTGGTGGCCCTAAAAATCCTAAAAATCCCTAATTTTTTTGGCTATCCCTAAAAAGCCCTAATTCTTTAGAATTTTCCCTTAAATCCCTAATTTTTCTTTCTTTCCGGTAATAACTGATGTCCAATGTCGTTGAAAGTGTCTCGACAACTTCTATCAGTGACTGGTAAGCTATTTCAGCTGTTTTTGTGCGCTTTTCTTTAAGATTTCTTCCCAAATGATATAATTTGAGGGAGGTGAGTTGTGCTCATTTTGCTTGAGCATATCTATATGCTCAAGCACTAGGTTTGTAGCACTCTTATACTATTTCATTCTCTGTAAGAGTTTGAAAATAGTAACATCTCTTTGTAGAAGCTCTGACAGAGACTGCAGCAAACAAGTTTTTCATTAACTGTAGTTCTGAAACAATACTTCTCTATTTTAGTTTTTACCTTAATATGAATGTAAGGGCATCCACATAACTTACTCAACCTTTTTATTCTCACTGATGAAGCCGTTAACAGCGCAGATTCAAAAGGTAATCTTATTATAATATTCATTCTTTGGTCTGTCTTGCAGTTTTGTCTCAGAGTGTTGAGTAATACTGTGAACCACATGTAACTTGTAATCACGCCACACGGAAAGACACAGTTTTAGAAAGCCTGGTTAGGAAAAACAGATCGTAATGGACATCTTATTGGACAGTGGTTGAAAGAAGATTCAACACCATACAGAGTGACATGCACATTGCGTGCTTCTTCCTTTAAATGTGACAATTCTGGCTTGCAGCAAGTTATGTCACATGCTGATGGAAAACGACATAAAGCTGTAGCAAGTCAGCGATTTAGCAAAGCCAGAAACATTTTTCGACTTCAGAGAGATCTGGAGCATGTGGACTGAACGGCAGAAGTCACAATGACCAAGTAACTGTTGCAGAGGCTGCATGGTGTATGAAAGTAGCAGTAGGCAAATACAGTTACAACAGCTGTGAGGATTTGCCTGACTTGTTTCGATTCATGTTTCCCTGCCCCTACACAAATGACTTTTCCCTTGGTTG